TCATACTTGAATTCAAATTTATTACCGAGTAGAGATATGACATGAGAGTTTTATTACTGTGTGATCTGTACACCATACTGAAATAAGACTCTCATATTATATCTCTATTTGGCAATAAATTTGAATCAAAGTATGACATCATAAAAAGGTAAAGAGGAAAAGACTTTTGTCCGAACGTGTACATTATAGGAATAATTATTTATGTTTATTAACAGCTGTTACTCTTTGAAATAATGCTAATTGTAGCTGGTAGTGGTCTCTCTATAACTACACCCACAATATACAGTAGCTGTTTTATGTTTCTTGCTTATAGAAAAATACGAAAAAGTAAAAAACATCAAAACTGAAAAAAAAAGTTTTCATCTTGAATTTGACGCCAAAGTACTATAGTTGATTTCAATATTTAGTATGCTTTAATGAAAAATGTTATATAGTTTATTTTGATAGTACTTAGATTTGTTTCTAAAAGTCATGATTAGACTGAGAGTGTTTTATTGTGTTAAAAAAACAACAATGAAATTGATTTCTAAAAAAGAAAAATTGAATATTATGTTGTTTCATAGAAAAGCAGTTTCTTTTAAGGGGACACCCCCCCCCCCTTTCCGGGGTTTCTCGAGAACGGCTCATCAGAAAAATTTGAAACTTTCACAGCTGATAGATCTCGATATGGAGAGTAAAAGTTGTCATAGACTCAAAATTCCCAAATGCTTCTTTCTAGGAAATATTGGGGTTGCAATGGCTAAAAATCGGCCCCCTAATCGCCCCCGTTTCTCAGGCACAGTAAATCCGATTGGGCTGAAATTTTTTCTACAGATAGTAGAGACACTTTAGGGGGCCTACTTTTTTTGGTTTCTTTTTATCACTTACCGTCCGAATAAAAAAGCCAAAATACCAAGAGCACCCTAAAAAACCCATATTTTTTTGAATAGTGCTTGTCTTGTAAGGCCTGCCAAAACTCAACGGTACAATATTTTTCAAAACAGAAAAGGGTAGCCCCCCTAAAGTGTTTCTACTATCTGTAGAAAAAATTTCAGCTCGATCGGATTTACTGTTCCTGAGAAACGGGGGCGATTCTGCAGATTTTTGCTGAAAAATCTGGTTTCTAGAAAACCGCGAAGGAAAGAAAAAATCGTGCTATACCCCTACGGCAATCGATTTATGTTTTCGATTTTATGTTTGCTTTAGAGCTATATTTGAGTTCTCAAAATGTTACCAGTAGATAGAGGGGCACATGAAAACACATGTAGAGCAGAAAAAACAAAAAATGAAAAATTTGAAAATTTTGGGTCTGGAAAGGGGGGGGGGGTGTCCTCTTAAGTGTTTCCACATTAATCCTTCTATTTCAATAAAAAGTTATGTACCTCAATGACGTATCCCATTGTAAAAAAAATGTACCCTAAGAGTACCCCATTTGAAATCTGGTACACCCCATTTGAAAATTAAGATATGGCAGCCCTGGATACTATCCACCAAACATAGAAAATAAAACAGTAATAGAAATTTCGAAAATCTATAGATTAGAGTTTGTAAACTGGTTGGTTAAGTCATCGTTACCGAAACGAAAAAATACAATGAAGAACTTTAAAAATTTATGATTCTAACTGTAATTTTTCTAGAACGGTTTTGTCTAATATTTTATATTAGTCTTTTTCTTTCTACTCTTATTTTTGTCTTTGCCATCAGAACAGTTCTTGGAACAGAATTTCTTTACAATATCTCTCAAATATGCCGACTACCATTGCCGGCAAAGAAAAAAAAATGTTAGGCGTTCTCAACCATAGCTATCGTCAGAAAAGAAAGTGCTAAATGCTTTCAGGCATCGCCAGCGTTACTGCCGAACAAGAAAAAAAAAGTGACAGTGAAATAAGCAGACATCGTCAACCTACTCATAACTTTTCATCTCTGCTTATAGAAATGGGATCCTTTTTTTCTCCTGGAAACAGGAATCAAGAAAAGTCATTTTAACAGAACACTACAATCCAATCAACTCCGGTATTCTCATTAGATCTATATACAGCGCCGAATTTTAAATTTGATCATAAAGTTTTATCTTTTTAGAAAAAATTTCATAACATTCATTCGAACTAAGTTGTAGTTTCTGCAATAGGGTTAACATTGTTCTATTATTTCATATTATGTTTTAATCAAGACTAGATAGTCTTTATTGAGCAACAACCGTTATAAAGTTATTTTTAGATTTTTAATTCGATCATTGATGGTAAATCGTAAGGAAACTTCGGAAAAAAAAAGTTGTTTCGATATAAAGATTGTCTGTAATTGCAAAACAAATTACATCATTCGGATCTAATAAGAAAAAATATGAAGAAGATTATATTACCGAAATATACAATAGAGCAATGTTTAATCTATTCCAGAAACTAAAAATTAGTTCGAACGAATGTTATGAATTTTTTTCTAAAAAAGATAAAATTTTGTGATCGAATTTGTGTTTAGCATTGTAATTTGCAATGATTGCTTCGATTTATAGTACATAATGAAATGAATTAAACACAAATAGAGGTTTGTTTTCTTAAAAACTCAAAGGTTTATGTTGTTTTCATGCTATAAGGCTGTCAGTTTTGAATGAATACACTGTTTTTTTTAATAAGAAAAAAAAAATTTAACTAATATTCAACCGAATAATTTTTCTTATGAGTTGAAGTCAAAAAGGCGTATAATTGATTTACTTCCAGTCATTGATAGTGTATTTGAAAAATGTAACCCATTTTCATTATTAATATAGCATGAGTATGGTTCTGAATATTGTTTGGCATTATAGTTATAATACCGGCAGTAATAAGAAGAAATTCTACATAAATATTTTTCTTCTTCTCTGTTTTGATTCGAGTATGTATGATAGGCTATGACTTTGTTGTTCATCTATATTATCCTACAGGATACCTTCTTTTTAGAAATTAAGTAAATTTATGCAAGTTTTTTTTTTCTCTCAGATCAAATAGTTCGAGATAAATTTGATTGCACCAGTGAGATACATAATGTTTAATAAGTCTCCAACAGTCATATTCCGGTGATCTTTTTATAGAAGCTGAAGGTGATTCCGGCAACCGGAATTGAATAAGTGCTAATAAGAATCAATGTATTCTTAAAGGATCTGATGAGATTATTATGTGAAACTGTTTATCATACGTTTGAAACGTTTTTTTTTCATAATATACCTATGTATTATGTTCTTTTTTTTTTATAAAGACTATCACGTTCGTTCATCTTTATATTATTAATCAGAAGAGAACGAGAAGAATCTATAGGCATAATATTTAGATTTCACCTTCATAGTTGTACCGAAAAAGTCTCAATTAGAATGGAATAGACATTAATAGTATGAAATAATGCAAAAAGTAACTTCAAATGAAACATATGCTGATTTTTACCTTACCTATGATGTAACTCATGTTGATCAACATGTCATAAAAGAATTCTAGTCAAAATGTAAGAGTATACAGTAGGAAAAGATTTGAAGACAAGGTGTCTCGATGTTAAACTTTCAAATATAATTATTATCGATATAATAGGTCTCTCAGAAACTAGTAGATAATATTAGTATTTATTAGCTCTTTAGTCAACAATATGATCATAATGGTATTCTTTCTTATATAATGAAAAGTGCTATTCTAACCAATGATTTAAATGTTATAGTCAAGAAATGGATCGAAGAGAATAACATATTATTCATTTTTCCTTCATTGAAATATACCTTGAGCAGTATAGATTTATTATTCTCAAGAATTATTTTGTTACAAACAACATCTTTTCTCATAATTACTGGAAAACATTGGAAATTATATTAGTGCTAATTCAAGCATGTTCGATAGGTGAGCAAAATAAAAATAGTACAGTTTAGTGGTATGAACAATATATTTGTTTTTTATCTTGTATTTAAAGTTTGAGTTAAGCATTGACAAGTGAAAAGTAAATATAAATCGAATTATTGAATAACTTGTCATCAAATGACAAGATCTAAGAAATAAACATTATGATTCATCAATGGCATGAATTTAATACAAAAAAAAACGAACAGCAAAAGCGCAAAATGACGATAAAAAATAATAAAACTGCTATTAACACAGCTTCAGCGCACTCATCTATCAATATTGTATGAATAATATATCAGAATATCCATAATCGACGGCGACATATCAATAGTATATATTCATATAGCGCGAGTATAATATTCGATATTTTTTCGTTCTACCAAAGGAACAGATTGTTAAATGATGGAATCGCACTCTGTTGCTATTAATTTTATTATTCCTCCAATAGGCAATTCATATGTCGAAAGCCAATGATTTTTATTCATAATTTGCTTGTTAGCTACGAACATATATAAAAAGTGGTCACATACTAGCTCACATGTTACTTGGAACAGTCTCTTTTCTTTTGTTCGATCTTTCTGTTGTTTTTTTTCTCAATTATTTTGCTGACATATGCCAGCAAAATGATTGAAAGAGAAGAGAAAGATAGAGGAAAGAAAAGAGACTGTCCTAAGTAACATGTGAGCTAATATGTAATCACTTTTTATACATGTTCATGGCCAACAAATGAATCGTGAATAAGACTCATTGACGTTCGAACTAGATCATAAAAAACTCATTTCTACTACACACGACTACCTCAAAACTCGATATTATTTATCCATTATTTGATCATGTTATGCAATGTTTTTATGAAAAAGTTTTCGTCTGCAAGTTTTTTCATTTAAACTCCATATTAAGTGAGAGCTCGTTTTTTTCTTTTATCGAATAACCTATATGAGTATGACAAAACATTATACTTTTTATTCTTTTTTTCATCGATGCTGCTCCTAGATATTTACAGTATGAGGATACTCAAGGCAAAATTTTTCTCCTACTGAGTTGTGCAAACAACGATATACTTTGATTTATATATATATATATATATATATCATTTGATAGATTTTTCGAAGGCTTACAAAGTACTACGATTGCATTGAGCTTAATCTGTAGGCAGAACACTTTATCCAAATGCATAATGATTGTGAGAGTCAATATTTACCTTTATTTAGACTAATATTTGATCAATTTTGGTCCAAATAATCGGATTCTCTATTAAAAAAGAAATATATATATTCGGAGTCAGCATAAAAGATTGAACCGATCTATATATGTTACAAAGTTCTCCGACAACTTTCGTTTTCGTTGAAAAATTCAACCCTAATCGTCCTCAAATTTACGTCGCAAAACGAAGTCAGTCACAACATTCTTTTTGTTATTTATTCATCTATCATTTTGAATTTTGCTAGATTTTTAAAAATTTAGAACTACCTTTTCACAGTTAAACTGCCACTTTGTCTGATTCTATTTTTTGACATAAATATGAGAGAGATGAGGTGTTCATTTTTGAAGGACGAAAATAAAAGTTGTCAGAGCAACCGGTAACATATATAGATCGACCCAATTTTTTTTATGCTGATTCCAAATATATCATTATTTTTTGATAGAAAGCCCAATGATTTTGACTAAAACCGATTACACATCAGTCAAAAAAGGGCAAGTTTTAGCATTTACGAACATTGTGCGTTTGAGTATAGTATCTTGTTCATAAAGTAAGCTCAACATAATCGTAGCATTTTATCGACCTTTGAAAAGCCTATCGAATGATATATAATTCAAAATGAATCATTGCATTCACAACTCAATAGGAGAACAATTTTACTTTGGCTGTCCTCATACTGTAAATATGGAGGAACAGCGTCATTCTGAAAAAAAGAAGAAAAGGAGTCATATTTTGTCAGACTCCTATATGCCATTAGAGAGGGTGAAAAGAAACAGTTCTCACTTGATATGTAATCTAAATGAAAAAAAGTTGAAGAGAAGAGGAAAGTTTTTCATAGAAATATTGCATAGTGTCAAGTGATAAAGAATACATAATATCGAGTTTTGAGTCAGCTGCACATAGCAGGAATGAAGTCTAAGATCTAATTCGAAGGATAATTGACTTTTGACACCTGAATTGACTATTAGAACAATAAGAAATTCAATTTTTAGAGGTAGCTGACTTCATCACTTAATAACTCCTCTCTTTTACACATAACAATATTACTACGTGTGATACTTGTTTTTCTTCTTTCCTTTTAAACACTCTGCAATAGATTTTGCAACGAAAATTCTGCATCAACTACCTACTGGCAAATTACTATCCTATTGACTCTGTGCATGGTCTGTACACTATCACTGCGAAACATTCTTTAGACTTTTACGTTCAAAACAACAGTCAAAAAAGATAAAAGAAAAGATACTATATACGTGATTGATATCCCATACGTAATAAAGCATAATCAAGTTTTTCGAGACGCTAAGAAACAAAACACTTTAATGTTTTCAAAATTGTACCGATACTTTTTGTCTGTTCGAAATATATCTTGATTTCTATGATTGACATTCTTTACAACAAAGACTCAACAACAAAAAAAAAATGATTTGAATCTTAGAGTGGACATACTGAACGATATGACGGTTCTTTTATTATTTTTTCAAACTTAAGAGACAGTTCATGAGAGGACCAATGAACTGAGACACTAATCAAAATTTTTATTTCTGATTTTTTCATGTGCATTCGAAAGG